ACTAGAAGTCTGCCTATCACAGCGGCCATGATGAGCCGTGATGTCTGTGATTACTGTGATGTTTCATGGCTTCATTTTTATTGCACGGAATGTACGGGGAAGGCTTACTCCATTTATTCTAATCTCCTTACCTCCTTTGTTGGAGATAAAAATGTTTTATTTTAAGTAGTGTTGTCACTATTTACTGTCAAATAGCTGAGTTTATTAATAAAAAAGTCATAAAATTCATACAAAATATGAAATAAATCAAAAACAAAATCAAAATTCTACTTCTAAGTACACATGTTCAGGTGGAGAAAAACATATGCTGAAAATTTGATAGCTACGATGTCACTGTTTTTCTGTCATACGGAGAATATAAAAATCCATACGTATAGATTCTTCATTATTTAATAGTAGAGATTATGGATATCTGTGCTGTGATTTTATAGAATCCCTTGCTCCTTATTTGGATTATTTCTCATTCAAAAATTACACAAGCATAATTTTTGTTTCTGTTATATTACATAAAATAATAAATAGGAGGTGAATTTCTTTTTCCTTGTGGTATTGGAAACAGCTGTTCAAATTTCATTGCATAATGGTATCATTGTTGTATTGTATTTCATTGCATAATCATTACTTTTACCTATAAATTATTTGTTTTCATTTTGTTGTCTTAAAAGCTGTATTAATTTTCCAATATAATTTCTAATTTGTGTAATAAATTGCACATACAGTTCCTCCTGTTTGTGAAATTCCATCAAACTGACTTGATATTATTACCTTAATTGAAATTAAGTATCTGCATTTAGAGGTTTCTTAAGTAATTTTTATAGCTTTGTAGACCCTGTTTTTACACAAAGTTACTGAAGGAAACTTATTTGTTTTAATTGCTTTATTTATGGCAAAGCCCATGAGGAAAAAGTGGCAAGGGAAGTTTCTCCTCTGTGAAAGATTTTGTAAAAAAAAAAAAACTGTCTTATATTTGCATTATAGATAGGAAAAAAAAACCCCCATAAAAATGCTCATACATTCAGATGCACATTAGTGTTCAACTGTCATATATATCTACTTGATCACTGGTAGATGAGATGGGAGTTACTGATGTAGTATTTTAATTTACTATATTAATTTCTTATTTATTTTAAATATTGGTACAGTACAATGTCCAAGATCCGGACGTCTAATATTTGGAATGTTCTAAAATCCAGACATCAAAGGCCACTACCAACTTTTTTATTATATATTTTTTTTTATGTGTGTGCTGTATGCATGTGCATTTGATCCCCCCCCCCCCGTGCATAATAAAACATGTGGAAAGTCATATTTTTAACCTGGCATTACAAGCACCGGGTGTGTCATACCCAGGGTGGTCTCTTCCTATTTTCTACTATAAAATTTACACAAAACATAAAACAGAAGAAAAAGATAAAAGTCGAAACAGTTTTAAACATAGTATATTTAAAATATAACTTACAATTATTCTGTACATTTCTTGCAAATACATGCCATGTGTTCCATACACACATGTTTTTGACATTTTTCACAAATATATTTTGTTTTTCTGTCCCTTTTAGATCCACATTCAGCACATCTTTTAATTATTACTTTTGCCTTCTTAGCAGATGGTTGAGAGTCCTCATTCTTTACCAGTTTTACTTTCAAACTTTGCGGGAGCATTGTTTGCTGGCTTCTGATCTTTTTGTAGTCTTCGATTAGTTTAAATTTCAAACTTTTCATAAAAGAACGTCGTGTTCGATTCTGAGTCGGTGGTTCCTTAGTGGATAGCAAAATAACGCGTGCATTTATAGCAGCTACATTCAACATTGCATAAAATATCGTCATAGGCGCAGCCATTTTGTCGACGACATCGACAGCTCCTTTCGTTATATTATAGAAAGTTATTATTTCGGGTTTCTTTGATTCTCCAGTAGTGATGTCTATTGCATTATCGTTATGCATTGTTGAGAGCAGAAGAACATTTTTACTCTTCTTTGGTACATACGAAACAATAGTCGTTTCTTTCTGAAATCCAAACACGGAAGAGTAAACGTCCCTTTTTTTTGTACTCATATTGGAGGAATTTCTTTCTTATTTTTTCTCAATGTTCCAACAATTGTTATATTTTTTTTCAGAAGTTCTTGTGAAAGTGGATAAGAAGTGTACCAGTTATCCACTGTTAGATTTCTTCCTGAATTATACAGAGGTTCCATCAATCTTTTTACGTCTCTACTGGGAGGATTATCTACTTGAAATAGACCTTTCGGGTGTTTATTGGCATATATTTCCATTTTCCAAGTGTAGAACACTCTCGAATCGACGAGTACAAAAACTTTTATTCCATACTTCGATGGTTTCTTTGGCATGTATTGGCGAAATGGACATCACCCTCTAAAAGATTCTAATTTCTCGTCTATGGTTACGTACTCTCCAACGTTGTACGATTTTTGGCAGTTTTCTACAAAATTTTCGAAGAATTCACGTATCGGGGCCAATTTGTCTAATTCTTTTCTGCTCTGGCGAGTTTGTATATCATCAAATCGGATGCATTTCAATAAAAAATAAAAACGTGTTGATGACATGGTTGTACGGAATATTTCTATTCCAGTGCCGTCTGTTGCCCAAAGATCTCGTAAACATGTGATGATTTATGCAAACCAATGAGATAAAGCAATCCAATAAATGCTTTAATTTCAGCCTCATTAGTTTCTTTTGCATCTCTTTCCCGTGAAAAACGCTCTCGAATCGATTCTATAAAACTGTTAGTCCAATGCACTAACTTCTTTATCATATCAGAAGATATAAGGAGGTTCCAAGCATCCACAGGAGAAGTTACATTCTTTGAAACGGGTGTATTTCCTGGGAGTTTTGATATTATATTTTTCGCAGAAATTCTAACATTAGCTTTGAATTTCTCTTTATTCCACTTCGTTATGTTATCTCTTCTGATAAAATAATTATCTTCACTTGAATCTGAAACATCGTTTTCAGAATCAGATTCAATTTCTGTTGAAGAATCATGATCACTACAATATTCTTCGTCATATGGCTCTTGATTACCTGAAAAATCACTATCTTCCTCTATATTTTCTTCATTAGAAGAAACAGTATCCAGTAAATTTTTCAAATACCGCATTTCTTCGTCATAAGTGCGGTAACGCGCCATAACGAAAGAACGATTTAGATACGTCTGCCTGTACTGAGAACAGTTACAGAAATGCTCGCTCTGGGTGTGAGATACCCAAGCCCCGCGATTTAAGAAGATCTATTTTTAGAATTCTTTCGCTGATTCTCCCCTTCCAAGGTTATGACCTTTGAGGCAGCTACATGAAGACTCGTCCATTTTAGAAAAAAGGTTGGGAAAAAAAAGTGAGAAATAGGAGTCACTGGGTGTGAGACACCCAGCGCGATCAAACCCGGGTTAATTTCACTTCTGTACTAAATAAAATACCTCATTATTGAAGAAACGATCATTTTAGCATAAATTTGTATGATCAATAATTTGGCTCTATAGCTGTCAATCTTGCATCTCAAACCGAAACATTCTACAGATACATCATTGATTTTACACCTACTAATATTTTATACCCCTGACGCCAACCTGGTGAATCATTATTTATTATATTTTGCTTTCATCACTGCATGTTTATCAACACATGACAAATTGAGTAATGACTCATGGAGAGATATCTAAACATTTTTTTATATTAGTAATTGAGAAACAGCAAGGCAACCTTTTATGTTGACAATACGCTTAGTGATGATTACAGACTTAAGTTAAATGCGCTAAGAAATGCTGACAGGAAAAATTTAACAAAAATTTCTTTCCATATGCTAAAAATAAATTGTTAATGATACTCATAGGCCAAAAGATTATATTTAGTGCTATCTGAATAAAGAATAACTGATTTGTTATTCACATAAACCCAGAACCAGCACCAGAGTTTATATGGCTGCACCGGGTGGCAGAAGACAAAGGGAGGCGCTTAGTAGCAGAATTTAAGCGCCACAGAGACTGCATCAGGCTCCGGCCCTCAATAAGCCTTAAGTTTATGTATGAATTTATTTTTTCGGGACTCCGATAAGCATTAAGCATGTGCAAGAAATAGACATAAGTATAATAAATATCTAAACTAATACAATTCAGGCTTAATTGTCTCAGTGCGGGATAGCAGCAAGATAAAATTTAGTGGAACAAGTCGTCAATCTCAGTAATCATCTTTAGACGCCAATCTCATAATACATAGCCAAATTTGTATAGTTAACTAACTAGCTAAATTTTATGATAATAGCCGCGAACTGAAGGTTTTCGAATATCGTAAACCAAAGGTGAAATTTTCCAATTAACAGATTTTGTAAAGAAATGTGGAGAAGTGGTACTAAATGAAGAGGATATAAAAGTTTTTCACTCTGATGATAATAGTCCTGAATCATCAATCACTTACTGGATGGCGAAATCTGTAGTATGATTCTAGATCCAGAAAATACCACTGCAGACAGAGTGATGAAAAAAATTCAATTGACAAGTTAGTCGGAATTCTAGACACAGCAATTATAAGACTTCAACGATGGAACTTTGTAACTGAATACGAAATTATGTTTGTCTGTAGAATTAAAGAGAATGTATGAGCACAAAAAACGAAGCAGCTTAAACAACTTGAAAGAAATGTTTAATAAAGTAAAAAAATAAATATGAAGCTTTTTTTGTAAATTTTTATTCTCTTTAGATCATAAATACTTCATTATTTTGTAAATCGCAATTTCATATTTTTAATTTTATTATTTCTGCATGCCATCTTACTAGATTTAAACTGATGATCTGACATCCAGAGAAATCTGGAATTGCGGAAGTCCCGATCTGGGACTTTGTACTATATTATTATTAGTGTATTGTAAATTTTATGATCCAGTAATGTTCATAAAATACTGAAGAGTTTGTTTATTGCTTATGATAAGTTCATTGTAAATTTGTTGGCCCATTTTTATTTGGTATAAAATTTGCAACCTATATTTTACAGATCCTGCTGATTTTGTGAGGATATTAAGAGAGGCCTTAGAATCAGATTTTGTCTCATCTAATTTAAATCATTGGATTGATTTGATTTTTGGTTACAAACAAAGAGGTGAAGAAGCCATCAAAGCAGATAATGGTAACACCTCTTAGTTATGTTATGCAATTTAATGGGTACTTTTAAAATATGAAGTGGGAGTGAAGTAAACGTGATATAAACTGTTATTTGTTAATTATAAATATGTTGAAATAATTCAAAAATATATAATAAATAATAATTAAATTCTTCATGAATTAGTATTTAAACTAAGAATTAAGTGTTTGCATTTAGAGTTTCCTTATATAAGATTTCAAAAATATTGAGGAATTATTGCTTATTTTAAGTTAAGTCATGCAATAATCTATGCAGTCTTTTTGAATAAGTTTAGAAGAAATAAGTAAGATGATAATTTGATCAATTATGTATTTCTCAATCTAAATCAGTGACTTTCTTTCAGTGCTGTGATAGTTTTTTTTCATAGCAGGCACTAGCCATTTTTAGTCTTTTACTACTACTAAGGTCAGAAGTGGTAGTCATTTTGTTATTATGAAGGAACCTAATAGGCAGTCACAGTTATCTCCTATGAAGAGACAGACAATTTACATCCATGCCTTCTCCGGGATTCAAACCCAGGCCCTTTGGTATCATATTCGGTTGCCGTAACCACTATACTGTCTGGGTAGCTTTCTAAAGAAATAAGCTAGCTTATTGGAGGAAAAATCTTGAAAGTCCACTTCAGGTGCCACATGGGAATTGTATTCTTGTCTGTCAGTGAAATTTTGCAAGCTTTGAACTGCTGGTCACTAGATAGTTTAAATAAGGAGAATTCTTTTTCCATAAATAATTACCAGCGCAGATGTTTGCACATTCTGTTTGATTAACGTTAACAAATTCATGTGGAACATACTGCCAAATTTAGACATAATTTCGAATTCTTTCAAATGATGATGAGCAGCCACGGATTTCTTGCATCTGAAACTTCCTACGCATCATTAGAAATAAAGACAAGGTGCCCTCAGTAGCTGTCGTCTTTCAGACTATAGTCACATTTTTGAAATGTGCAGAAACATCTTTGGCATACACCTTTACCAAAAATTTCCTTCTAATTTTTTGCAACATTTGCTGTGCTGTTGCCTTTTTTATACTTATAAACTATGATGTATCTGATGTCCTTTTCCATTACTGCTCTTTTCATAAAAGATCATTAAAGCAACCAATAAGTACTATGTGCTTGTAAGCAGAATTTATCTAAATGACGTTCTTTTTACTTAGTAGTATTTAAAGTCAGTGAAAATCATTTGTTTAAATGTGTTAGAACAATGTATTAATCAGTCATGTCTGAAAAACTGTACTACATATGGGATGACCTGTTAATTTATATAGCAAAATCTAAGATTAAATACCAAAATCCATTCAAATATGATCCAGATTCCTGGATATTCGCATGGTGGTTCATGTGGTGCAATAGGTAATCTTGGACATTCCTACCATCACATATTACCAGCAGTGCAGTGGTAACTTGATCTTTAGTCACATGTAAAAAGTGTTTTCTGTAGCATAAAGGTTAAATTTCAAACTTACAAACAGTTCTTCTGGTCCAAAAAGCTTTGGATCATTCAAATATTTCAGTTTGGGACAGACATTGTTCTTCATATTACCTGCAAAGCAATTTGTGGATGATTATCACTTACAAACACTATGACTGGCAAGATTGAGCCCCCACTGCATTATAGGTAATGGAATAGACAGAATATCCAAGGTCAACTCAATATGCTACATGAAGTACACATGTGCACATGCATGCGCATAACAAAAATAAATACGCACATGCACATAACAAAAATCTGGCTCATATTTGAATTCCCTGTTACTTGAACTTTGAACTGCTAAGAAAGTATCTATTTTGTTTACATTATAGATTATTGATTCTTATTGATTCCTTTTAATGTTACCTCAACATGAATCTTAATTTTTTTATTTTGCAGTATTTTACTACCTTACGTATGAAGGTTCTGTGGATTTAGACAGGTAATGAAAATTAAAATTTTTATGTATAATAATTTTTGAAATAGCATTCTTTCATTATCTCACCGTGACTTAAGGAGGGAAAAAAATTGTTTAATAGTTTTCTTTTTGCAGTTTATGACAACTGTTGTTAAAGATACTTTTTGGTCATTATAGGGTATACTTTAATGAACAAATGCTGTTTTCTAGATGTGCATATGCATTTGGAATAAAATTTGGTGATTTAACTAAAGTGTTGGTTTTGTGTGTGTTAAATGATATATTTTTTTAATCAGCTGTGTTATTGTTTATATTTTTAAAAATATCTCCTAACTTTTCTAGCATTTGTGATGCTAATCAGAAGTACTCTCTGGAAGTTCAGATTATGGAATTTGGACAAATCCCAAAGCAGTTATTTGTGAAACCTCATCCTCACAGAAGAATGCCTTCACCAACTGACGATCTTATTGAGGATAGCTTTGAAAATCTAGTCACAATTAAGAGTGGCAGGAGTAAGATCAAATTGCATTTTTAAGTAAATATCTATCAATGTTGATATGCATGATTATATATATATATGTTAACTTTTGTTTTTCTCTGAATGTGATATTTTACAAAATTTGCCAAATTTTCTAATGCTTTCTGTCATGTTCCAAAGTGTTTTCTGTTGTAAAACAAAATTCAGTATTAATTTTTTTCCCTCTTGTTTATGTTCCTTTTCACAGACTACAATAATTCTTTAGTTATTTCACATATAACTACAGGTGTATTTAAATTCTTATTTAGCTGTGAATTTTATAATTGTGTTGCATATTTTAAAAAATTACCTCTGCATTATATTCATTAGTAGTCAGAAAAGTACCATTTATTGATTTTTATATTAATTTGATTTTACATGTATGTGAGAATTTATCACTGGTTGGTCACCAGAGCATGTTCTTTCATTTAGAATGGCTAAGTTGTGGAAATCTTGAACCTGTTACATTATTGTTTATTTAATTAACATTCCTGCATCTATGTTCACTTGAATGAAACATGTTTGAATTGGTAGCAGTGGTGTGAAATCCTACCAAAAGTAAGATGTAAGTTATTACATGCAAAAGTTTAAGACCAGTAGCTGATTTTTAGTATTTTAACATATTCCATTATTTTCACAGATCATTGCATCAGCTCGTATTGATTGCATCAGACGCATTGTACTACTATAAATATATGTACCGGACTTGTTTATTGCCAGTTGTTTATTGGATTTTGCCGTAGACAATGCTGTTGTGTAGTTATTATAATAGTCAACAAACTGTTGCATACTTAAAAAAAAAAAAAAAAAAAACAAGCGAAGAAATTGTGGCCTTGCATTAAGTTGGCTTTTCTGAACATGAGATAAGTAAGAGGGTAAATGTTAGTAAGACATCTGTTAATCGAGCTGTCAGTAAATTAAAAATTTCAGAAAAATTTATGGACCTTAAAAGAAGCATTCTTTCAAGAAAAACGAGTGCACATGTTAATTGTGTCATAAGAACATGGTCTCATGGTCTCCAATAACCTTCTGTAATATAGGGTTGCCACGCTACCTGGAAAACCGGAAAATGTCAGGGAATTTGGAAATTGACCAAAAAATTCAGGGAAAAGTCAGGGAATTTAAGTGTTTTAGTCAAAATCTGGAAAAGTCAGGGAATTTCATACAATGATCCCGCCAAAAAAGGTGAGTTTTGCGCCGACGTCGGAAGAGATAACTTTTTTGGCGAATTGTGTATCACGTGAGTGTCATTCGGGAAGCTGGCATAGAGCCAATTTTCGCAGCTCCAATTTGATTGTCTTTTTAGAAAGGCAAGCAAGTTTCCCGCAACTTTTGGTTTCCAGTAACCTCGAGAATCGCAAGTGCAGTGCATGAACTAAAGAAAGTACCTGTTCTCGTATAAAACAAAATGGGTTTAATTCTAGTATACGGTACCATGAAGGTTAGAATTTAAAAAATATGTATTGTAAAGAAGGAAAACCTCTCTGCAACAGATGTGGCTCGGTTCCATCATAGCGGGAAACAGCTGTGCATGCGCGATATATCTGTCGCCAAAGCTCGAAACCGGTGTCGAAGTTCGAAGGTCACGTTATCAAGAGTTCATAAAATGAATATCGTTTAAAATGTCTTTAAACTCTAAAGGAAAAGAAAATATTTTTTGGCGCAAGTAAATTAATTCATGGATTAGTTATTTTGTCGAAGGAAAAAAAAATCTACGAAAATCCATTTTTAAAATTATTGGGAAAAATCCAAGAAAAAACATTCTTTGATAAAACGTTTCTTCTTGGATTTTTCGCAATAATTTAAAAATGGATTTTCGTAGTTTTATTTTTTTGTCAAAGAACAATTCTTCTTAACACGTGTTTCACAATTTCCTGTACACATCGCGGAGAGGGAAATTCTGCCGCCAGGTTCCGTCGCCAAATCCCTTGGCAAATTTTCCCTCCACTTTTTACATAACGTTCTTTGGTTCAGAATAATCTCCATGTATGGTACAGCGGGATTTGGCGACATGATGATGCGCAGTAAACGGGTCATTTTGGTCTTGGCGACAATTTTCAAAATCGTGCCAAAGGCCGTACCGTATACTAGGATTTTACCGCAAAATCTTTTTTTTTTTCTTTTCTTTTTAATAAATACCTTGCCATTTTGCAGTAAAATAAAAAAATAGTAATCAAGTCATCTAGGCTAACCATGTAATATAACTATATTCGCTAAAATATCGTTGATTATTCTAATTCAATTTTTAAGTAATTATCTTTATTTTTATGTTATTCATATCATTTAATGTTGCTTCTTCCCTCTAAATTTATTTATTATTAGTAAATAATATTTCCAAATTTCAGGAAAATTTTCTCTGGCATAATCCTGAAATTAATTCTAGCAGTATGATGACATACCACGAAATTTAATGCACATATTTTTTCCTTATGTATGCTGCGAAATAAATATAAAATACCTCAATTAGTAAAAAAATATCATTAAATAGATTTCTTTCTTTCGTTTAGCTGCAGAATGTCTGCAAAAAAAGCCTTATTTTATTCCAGATTGGGAAGATTCTAATCTCAATCTTCAGTGGAGAAAACAACTATTATAATTATATTTGTGTTTTCGAGTGTTAAGGTGCCTTTTAAGAAAACACCTCACACAAATTAAATTTACCTAAAATCTAACCTAACTATTTAGCATTGCTTTGTGATTTATAAGGACCGGATTAGCCTCGAGTTGAACTGGTAATGATCATGAGTAATAATTAAATAAAACATACAATTGTTATCCAATGTATATATCTTAAATTTTATTAAGCTTCTTAAGTGGAAAAGTAAACAAAATTATCAAACAAAGTATACCAAGAATAATTAAGAATAAATGTCCTCTGGGATTTATTGAATAATTAAGTGAATTTGCTACACAGTACAAGTAATACCATAATTAATTTACCTCTTAGCACAGCCAACGCACATTACGCGGATAGATTGGAATTTTCTCGAAACATACCTGGAAAACCTGGAAAAGTCAGGGAATTTCATTCTCCTCTTTGAGTGGCAACCCTGGTAATAAGATTCGACTTATTGTGGCAGCAAAGAGCACCAAAATTAGTTTGGATACTATTTCAAGATGAAGTTGGACCACAGATTATGCTTTATCATCGTATAAACTTGCAAGGAAAACAGTGGAATGAGGTGTTATTTTCTGATGAGTTAAGTGTGCAGAATTTTTCTATATCTGCTACTAGATGTGCTACTGATTGCTTGACTGGCCAAGTAACAGTCCAGAATTGAAGAGCATTGAGAATCTGTGGTGCATTGTGAAAAATAAAGTTGCAGTAAAGCGCCTATCTAATACTACACCATTGTGAAGCAATAAAAGCACGTTTGGTGTACAAAGATTTCTCAAGCTTATTGCCAATATCTTATTTATAATATGGATAACAGATTACAGCAGTGATAAAATCAAAAATGCTATAAAATATTGACTTTTTTAAAATACCCTTGTAAGCCTATTTTGTTATTCTATAAAATATGTTATTGCAGAATTCTATTAAATCTGATTTTTTTATGAATGCTTTTAAATTTTTTTAAATGGCTATTTATGGCGACATGAATTAACAGACTGGGAAGTAGTGTCATGAATTTTTGAAGGTGTTGACGGTATTCTTGATCAACAAAGAAGCAGCAGCTTATTTTTAATCTCTGACGTTGTGATTTATAAGAACCGGATTAGCCTCGTGTTGAACTGGGGATGATCATGAGTAATAATTAAATAAAACGTACAGTTGTTATCCAATGCATATATCTTATCAGTTGTTATCCAATGTATATATCTTATTTTCTTCTGAAAACTGAAAAAGAATTTTTCTGATCAGTTTGAGATGAATAAAGATATGCATAAAATCTTTTCTAAGTATCAGTGACTTAATTTATGAAGTTCAAGAGTTTATAAATTAAGTCACTGACACTCATAATTTTCATCCATAATTTTGTTCCCAGAGTATGAAACAAAAAAAAAAAAAAAAAAAAGGATTACATGCCCAACTATCCCATGTACTTTGCAAATGAAACGCTGGATTTTTGGATTGTATTGTGATTGGCTGTGAAATTTGGGTGCTTTACCTATTACCAAGCAACAGCATTACTTCAAACAACAAAAATTCAAACCTTCACAATTTTTGGTCCCCAAAATTATGGCTGCAGTTTTCTGGAAAAGGCACAGAATTCTCCTGATTAAGTTAATGCCTCCTGGGAACGATTAATGCTGCTGCATACAGTAAACTTTTCGGTGATTGTAATTGGGTATACGAAAAAGATAAGTAAGTTTGATAACACAACTTTTGCCTGTTCAGTTAACAGCACACTGCTGATACATGTTTTAATGTCTCTTCTGTAAAAATTCAATCTAGTTTCAGACTGCACATGGTATAGTGCCCAGTGATTTTTTACTTATTTCACCTAAAGAAATATGTTCCTCAAATAATTCAGAGATGATGTTGATGATGTGAAATGAAACTTCATGACATTATTCAGATGGGAGACTTTTATGATGCAGGGTCTGTTAGCTAAACCTATTTAACTAATAGTGGTGCTTCTGTCAAAATATGTTATACAGTCAAAAGTCATTAATCGGACACCCATAATCCGGACCTCAAAGCTAAAAACTTTCTGCGCATGTGCCGCGCTGGCACATGCGCACAGGCATTTTACGCATGCGCATAAGACCTTGACTACTGCGCACATGCGTATGCGCAAGTGCAGAATACTTTTTCGCCTGTGCGTTTAATGTATAACGGACGGTGTAAGCTAACATTATCTAATTATCTATTTCAGTTAATGTTAATGATTGCGTTGTTCCTTAATCTTCGAATTGGATCCCGCTTATTATTTTTTGCAGACTGTAAGAGCAATTTTATAAAAGTAAACTTGAACTTTCAATTACTATGTCAAATAGAATTTCCGATGCTAGAACTTCCAAAGGATCTACAAAACGAAAGTATGTTTCGATGTCCAACAAACAAAAAGTGGAATTGCTGCAAAAAATGGATAAAGACATGAAGAATGTGACAGAGAGGTTAGTGAAAACGAAAAAATTTCGATTGACAAGTTAGTCGGTATTCTCGGCACAGCAATTAACGGGACTTTGTAACTGAACAAGAAATTATGTCTGTTTATAGAATTAAAGAGAAAGTATTATCACATAAAATGAAGCAACTTAAACAACTTACATTGAAAGAAATGTTTAATAAAGTAAACAAATAAATATTAAGCTTTTTTTTTTTGTAAATTTTGATACCCTTTAGATCATAATTACGGTTCATAATAAATATGAAACCGTAATTTATTAAATAAATTACGGTTTCATATTTTTAATTTTAGAATTTCTGCATGCCATGTACGAGATTTAAACTGATGATCTATAATCCGGAAAAATCGATAATCCGGAATCGCCGAAGTCCCGACGAGTCCGGATTAACGACTTTTGACTGTACTTAATATAATTAACTTTTAACGGAAATTTGGCTTAATAAAATTATTATTAGAATTTTAATTTTTGTAACTTTTATTTCTGATACTCTCATTTATATAATTCATATATATATATATGCACATGGAATTGTGCATTTAAATGATAGTAGTTGTGCAGAATATTTCAGTTAAATTAGAAGTTGCAGAAAATTTGTATGCCTGTTTGATTTTATTGTATTGTACTGCTGTTTGTGAAACTGAATGGTATGAGCAGCATGTTAAATTTTGAAGCATTGTGCTATCTTATCATATGCCAAGTATTACTGAAGGCAAATTCAGTCAAAGAATAAATTTGTTTCTTTTTTGTCTGCAAGAAACCACTACTTTTAAGTGTCAATTTACTATAAGTCTTCTTTTTTTTTTTTTTTTTTTTTTTCTCCCGATGTACTGTAAATTGGCTGGCTTTTTAATACAACTGTTGAGACATGTATTATCCCAATGTTAAGACCCTTTATCACTGCAGCTTGTACTTTCTGTTCAGAAAAATTCATACATAGGAGACAAGTGTACAATAAATAACTATTATTTATTTTCATATATTCTAATCCAAAGTGCTGGAAATGTGAAGATGTCTATTTTTCTTGTAATGTAAAGCTGAAGCCCAATTCAAATTACTGGCAAGTTATGACTGTCTGAAAGGATATCTATTATATTGGTATTTACAACTATCAAATTTTCATCTTTGTAATATTATGTATCCTATGAATAGAGCCCACCTTTATCATTCTGAGACACTTCATAGTAACTGTACCTTGTGGTGTCAGTCTTCATTTTAACAGCCTTTTGTTGTATTAAGATACTTTAAAATGGGCATTTCAAAGTTGTAGGGTCCCTTCCCTTAGTTGTGATCATAGCGTACATCATCATCACTCAGTCACTTATTATCAACATCTGTTTTTCCTGATATTTTTCATCTTGTAATTTGATTTGCCATTTGGAAATTTAAAGTATTACTATATCCCAATTAATTAAAAAAAACTGATTGTAATTATAAATTTTTATCATTTTCTGTAGTACTTATTAAGACATAAACTTGGTGATAAGTTGTAATTAATTACCTTATATTATTGCAACCTTAAGATAGCATAAATCTGTCACTTTCTATCCTTGTTCAAAAATATTTCAAACTTTTGCTTTTTTTCCCTCATATTATGGATTGTGTTTGGGATTTTTTACTTAACTGGGGAACTTCAGCTAGATAGACTTGTTCTGCGCATTGTTTTTTTTTTAAAGGGCATTTTTTATGTTTTGCTATTTTTTCTGTGTGAGTTATAAAAAAATATGATAAATACTCTTCAATGGAAAAGGGGAGATCTTCACTATGGGAATAGCTCTTTAAATCTTAGTAATTATACATGACAAAGATTGAGGAAAGCTGTTTTTTAATATATAGCATAATCCCTGGGTCATCAGCTATATGTAAGTATGAAATTTTTCATCAAACTACAAAAATGGACTTTAAAATATACAAAATATTAGTTTATAGTGATGCAGCATTAGCAATGAAGAAAGTTTTAAAGTAATTGAGCAATTCATACAAAATATTACTTTATAGTAATGCTGCATTGACAATGAAGAAAGTTTATGATCAGTTGAGCAATTTTATGATAGTTGAAAATCAATTGAAGAAGGAATTGAGATGTCTTTCAACATCAGAAATATTGAAAGAATGAGCAAAATGGTTCAATTCAAACAGAATGACTGACTAAAGAGAAATTTTTGTGAACTTAAATGAAGAATCTTAGTATGTAAACTCCTAGTTTCAGCATTTTCTAGCGGCAGGAGTTTCTAGCATTCTCTGCCAATGATTCTTGATATAGGTTAGTCAAACAAGGCAAGTTTTGTAATTTTGCTCCAAGATGTATGAAACTTATCTTCAGAAAAAAAAAAAAAAAAATCTCCATGTCTTCTGTTGCCAAACCATCTTGCTCAATCCTCCATTTCTGTTCAGAAATCCACTCTTTTCATTTTTCTATAACGAAAATTATTCAAAAAATGTCTTTTGTTTGTAAAGTAGATTATCTGGAAACTTTACACATCTAAAAAAATCTGTGTTTTCAGTTATGATTTAAATTCTAATTTGAGTTCACTATTTATCTTTAAAGAATTTGATTCTAAGTTACTTTTCACTTGTGTGTCTGTTAATGAAGAGTTTTGCTTATATCATCTATGATTTGGCTTGAAAATCTTCATGTTTCTTCTGAATCCTCAAGTAAGCCCTTCCCCCTCTGGCATTCTTTACATTTACTGCCAAAGATTATTCTGTTTGATCTCTGAAAGTACAGTGCTGCAAAGTTACTTATATTATGCCAATTCCTATTGCTAATTATTGATTTGTGTGATATTTATGTGTAAAACTATTTTAATGAACTTATTTAAGTTTGTGTACAAAAAATAAATTCAAGTACTTAATGTGGAAGCTAATGTTAGCTTTCCCCCTTCTTGTGTTTTTTGATATACTTAATATTCCCCTTCTCCATTTTAATTTATATGTGAAGATAAATTTAGAATTCTTATCATATGTTTTTTTCATCTTATCTGTTGTTGTGACTTATCTCTTTTGTGTAACAGTAACATCAGAACAAGCCCGCGAAATTCATCAGGGCAAGGAATGCAAGATTGTGCCTGTTGTTGGCAAGATTCTTGAGCTCCTACAGGTGACAGTACGACTTTTGCTCATTTCTGCCCCCAGTTTTGATGGAAAGCATCCTGGGGGAATGCACCCGAGGGTCTTCCATTCCTCCTTCCCTACCTACAACCATTCGAGAGGACTTAACGGATGGCCATATATTTAGAGTGTCCCATACCGCACAGACTCTTTAGATTTACGAACATCCATGTCTTCTCCAGGATTTAAACCCAAGCCCTTCGGTGCAGCAGTCAGTGCCACTAACCGCTATCCCAGTTGGCTCTTCTTATCTAAAAACATTATTCTGTGCAATAATTGATTATAGCACATCTGAAATCAGTATAAGAGAAAACATTTATAATTCCTTTTGAAAGTTTTAATACTCTTTCAAGGGCATAAAATTCTAAATGCAAAAACTTTAAATTTCAGTTTTAAAATATAGTAGTGAAATATACATATGGAAATTATTTTAGAATTCTATTATATAGTGCTCCAAACTCTTACTGTTTTTCAATTCCATTGTTCTAAATCACCAGATTTTTTAAGTCTAGTAACCTGTATTTTTTCCTAAAGTGTACTGCATAAAAATGTTATATTTTCTAAGTGTTTTCATGTCTGTCAGGCAAAGCAATATTAAAGCCTGAAATTATGTTACTATGAGTGAAGTGCTTTAAAATTTATTTCTGCACAGGTGGTTCATTATCAAGTGGAAAATTTGATCACTCTTCTAAGTGGATTAAGAATGTAACTAAGCTTTCTCTTTGTCTTGATTGCAAAGTTCATAAAGAGTATGTGCAGTTACAAATTTTTTTGTAATATCAAATCTATAGCTATAATTGTGTGCAATTTATTACTATTTAGAGGAAAGGTTTTCAAATTAATAATTTTTCTTTTATTTCTAGAATCATTACTGATATCTGCATTACAAAAGATCAAAAATCTATATTTTCAGTTTTTAAAGGTTTGTTAATTTCTGTTATCGTATTATATATTTGATGAAAATAATTCTGTTTATTTAAGCTGTATGAATTTCCTCTTGATATAAGTTTCATCGTATGTACTCTGTTAATTGCAGCTTTTGTTTTTAAATAATGAGCATGTAAGAAAATCTACCCTCCCCCCCAAAATCAAGACTCCCCATCAGCAGTTGTTCTGAACAGGTACATAATAAAAATAAAATTTAAAAATACCTAGACATACTGAGTCTACTAATCAGAGTGTATGTTTTCACTATTTGGGAAATAATAAATGCATTCCTTCTACATGGGTACTGTGCACACTTTTTGGCAAATCTGAAAAGTTATTCATAAAACAGTCTTGTAGACAGCTTCCACCATCTATGGATATTAAGGTATATTATCATCCTAACTTGATTGACCATGTTTGAGGTAAATATCATAGTTCAACAGTTTAACAATCCAGTCTCTTTGGAGCCTTGAATACTCTGCCACATCTTAATATTCGAAACCTCTAGGTACATCATCCTGAATTGAGCTTTCACTCAGTGACAGCATTGGTAAGCAGTCACTTAATGCTGAAAAGATAAGTTAACTGGTCTCGGTATGGAGGGGGCTGTTGCATCTGATGCAATTGGATTTCTGGAAGAATCAGCTTCTAGTGAGTAGTCTTTTGAATTGAATGACCAAGGTGACAAAATGGAGTTTTGACAACTCTCATAGAGCCATCCCCATTTGGGTACAGTTCATCAATCATGACAAATAGCCAGTTAAACCTCTTACAGTTTTTGGAGCCAATGAGGACCACTTCTTCAACTTTTAAAACTTTGTTAGCTTTATGCACCAACTGACATAAATATTTCTTTTGGAATCTCTGTTTGAATTGTTCACACAGCTCCTGGCTGTATTTAACAGTTTTTTTTTTCCTGATCTATGTGACCAAAATTGACAGTTCCAGTCTCTTTCACATCCTCTGGAAAGTTGGAAGGTTTCAAAGGCTTTAACTCCCCGGAGTCATCGGAGTTGTATATTAGCAGGCGTTTCTTTACCATGGCTTCTGTCTCACAAAGAACTGTAAGCAGTTTCTCATAGGTAACAAACAACCTACCAAAAATTTGGGCAAGTAGATTTTTTATTATGCGAAGGAGTCATCTCCAACAACTGTCTCGCCATCTTGCAGTTGGGGGAATGAACTTCCATTTAGTCAGATTTAGAATTTCATGAGCAGTTGTCTTTTGCCACTCAGTTTGTTTCATTTTGCCAGAAACACCAGTGAGATCTGTGCTGTTGTCACTACAGACAAGTGTTGGATGGCCTCATTGGGCAATGAATCTTTTTAAAGCTTGTGTAAAGCAGTCTGCTCTTAAGGAAGTCACAGGCTTTAAATGTATAGAATCTTAAATTGACGGGCACTACCCATGTTTTAGTCTTATTTTCAGGAATTAAAGAATGACACATATCAATAGTCAATACCAGTAATGTCAAAAGTTTGGGCATCCTGTACTCATTTAAAAGGAAATTAATAAGTTAATTTTGCCATAAATCTCTTGTATGTAATGTATTTTTTTTATTGTTGATCTAATTGTCTATGTAGCTGAAATAATCCAGTACTCCTTTCTTATCATAGATATGGATATTTAAAATTCGCATGAGAGTTATTTTAATCGTATTTGACATAGCACAGTATGGTGCTTTGACAGAAGCAAGTTGGATATCTAAATCTTAATTCATTATGTCTTCGTAATATCTTTATTTTTACTCTCTCTAGTCCTGCCTCATTCCTGATGACTGAGAGTCCATTTGTTGCATCCCCAATCTGAGAGAAACTCTCTCTCTCTCTCCATTAGTAGACCCAAAGTGTTTTTAGAAGGCTTTAACTCAACTGATGATGAGAATGTTGCTTTATTTACCATTTATAATAAATCATTGAATCCATATTAAAAGTCGTACAGTTGCTGAGAATTTAGAAAACTTGTCATACTAGTTAAGCATGTCAGCATTTATGCTAATGTTTAATACTACTACTTTCTCTGATTTCTGAAGAAATATGTATCTCCTTAGGTTTAAATTTGAGGCTTGGCCAACTAACCTTCAATTCCTTTAATCTCTTTACCCTTCCTCTAAAATGTTTTTAGAATATGATGAGGGATACAACCCCAAGAGGGTACATCTGGTGGGTTTAACTTGCTTAATATATAAGACGACTGATATGCTTCACAAATATTTGTGATAATTCCCATCAAATATTCATCATTGATCATTGTGCTCTGTCCATGACAGAATTGTAGTCAAATCAGACCAGTAATATTTTTCAATTTAGTCAATTGATATGTCTGGAATAATGCTTATACAACATATTTTGCTATATGCATAAAACACAGCTTAAAAGCTCAGTATAGGGAGTTATCATTTTTTTTTTTTAATGGTGAAACATGAGATTTCTCTTCCAGAAAATTTACTAAAGTGGACTGTCATTCCTGCTCTGTAAGAAACTCTAGTCACCAAAAAGTGTGTTAAGTCAAAGTTTGTTTGTTCTCATATAATAGTCTACAGGATAGTTTTAAATCAGATTTAAGAACTGTAATTCACTGTACTATTAAAAAAAAAAAAAAAAAAAAAAAAAAAAAAAAAAAAAAAAAAAAAAAAAAAAAAAACAAAAAAAAAAAAAAAAAAAACAAAAAAAAAACAAAAAAAAAAAAAAAAAAAAAAAAAAAAAATCAGCTGGTAATACAGGAAAAAAATGGTAAAAAAAAAAAAAAAAAAAAATTAAATTAAAAAAATAAAAAAAATCCTAAATTAATTAGAGACAAAAATATCTGTTTTTGACAGGCTATCTAGATTAAGTACAGGCTTAAGATATTGAAAAGACTATTATCCCATCTACCCCATAGAACACTCAAGATTGAAATCTGAATCTCGGAAATGGACTCTGAGTCATTGCTCAAACTTTTACTAATGCCCTTCATAGGACCAAATATGCACATCTAAAGGTCCATCCTAACTTCTGCCAAAATGTCTATTATGATTTTTCCATAAAGTTCTTAAGCTGTTCCTTTGTGTCAAGGGAGGTGATGCAGTATCTATATAAAAAGAATTTCGAAATATTTCTGCGATGTATATGTCTATCAAAGACAAAAACTTCATAGATACATGTTTGCTGACACTGAACAACTAGTTGATATGTCTAGGATGCATCTGTTTTCATGGGACAACTACTGTATTCCTAAAAATCTAATCGATTTATAGCTACTTTCCTCAAGACCAACTTTGAGCTCCCGGAGATAGCTAGGTGCTCTGTATCCCTTAACATCAAAAGGCATCAGACACTAGACAGTTAAATAAAACTGGACATCATTTGGTGTAATAAAAGTTTTAACTACTATTCTTATATATCTGAGGTATATTTTTCTAAATTAATAAATGCTTTTTTTTCCCCCTTCCTCAACAGATGGTTTGTTAAAAATGTATTCCTTAGAAGAAAAGAGACAACTGAGAAGTATAAATGTTTCCACTATGGTAATTATTTTGTAATCTGATAAATTTACAAAATTTTTAGCTGGTATTTTATGATTTAGTGGAAACCTTTATCAAAACATGAATCTTTTTGTAGGCATTGTCATCATGTGCTCTTATGGAAGATGATCGAACAGTTATTGTTGGATCATGGGATAATTATGTGTAAGATATAATTTTTGATATTTTATTGCAGTTCTCAAAGAGTTTCATGTATCAAGAGTGATCATTTTGTTAACCTAAGAAACCAGTAAAATTGCATTGTGTGCTATATCTGGGAAATATATTTATTAAAATATAAATTTATAAATTATGTATGAAATCATTCAAGTGTTTAGAAATTACAGGAAAGCAAGTATGTTTATATTTACTTAATTGTCACTGTTTTGCACAAAGAGTTTTTGCAGTAATTGCCAAGTTACAAAAATAATGCATCCCGTAAACTTCTAAGTCAAGTTTGCAAATTGCTTCAGTTTAACTTAATAAGAAACTGCAGTGTTTATTATTATTACATATGCAATAGGTGCTGGTTAACATGATTGTGGTTAATATTGTTATTCAAATATAATTATCAAATTGCTAAAGTCCTGCCCTTTGCATACCCAAAAAAAAACATGGAAATTATATCATTTATTCTAATCAAAATGTTAGTTAATCAAATCATTATAAAATGAATTTTTTGGCAGAGTTGCCAAATAACATAAAAATGTGTGAATTCCAAATGATAGAGGCATGTTGCCAAATAAAAGATTAAGTCAATGAGCAGCTTAATTTTGATTTAAGGCAACTATATGCAAAGAACCTGTTTCCTAAAGTTTAGGAAGATTGACTGAACTTACCAGAATTAGCCAATGACAAGGGGGATATATACATGATTTTGCTTTTTCATCTCACAACATATCTTTACTTCAAGAGAGAAGAGAAACATGTCAATGTAAAACATAATATGAGGCACGTAGCTTTTAATCAATTAGATTATATTGATTTTGAGGGTGAGCAGGTACAGGTCACTGTTCTTCAGGAACTAAAAAAATTTCTGCAAAGAAGAGAAAAGCCATGATGGTATTTATATCACCTTTTTTTGTGGGGGTATACATATCATCATGGCTTCTTCCTTCTGTTTAGACATTTTTATCATGGAGTCCAATAAAAGGCATAATGATCTAAGAAAAAAAAATTGACTTGTTAAACCACTATTACTAATTCCAGAACTGAGTCAGAGGAATGCTGCTCTTAATTTTTTTTAAATTTCTCTTTTGCTGTGATGAGGATATTCTATGAGTATTAAGATTAATGGTTCAAGAAATATTACAAATTTTTAGAAAGAAGTCCTGAAATATTACAAATATGAACAGTTCATAAATAAAAATTTACGTGACGGCTGCATGCAGTCAATTATTCCATACTTTTTTTTTCCAAATTAAAATGCTTTGAAAGTAGGTATTTATATGTTTCTAGTTATGTTTATATTAAATTTGTTTAATTTTATTCATATTTTTCTCATTGCTTAACGTTATCAAAATAGTAGTGGACAAACGTGATCATGTTTAACAGCACCTACTATACCTATATTAGTTACACATTATTATTTTATAAATGAAAAGCTACAGAGCACTATTTATTCAAACATAAACTGTAAAGTCTGAAAATTGTATAAAAGGAATTGAAAACAAACTGAAACAACACTTTTCAAATAAAAAAAGTTTTGTTAGAGCTAAATTCTGTCATGAGAGAATTACAGAATTATATTCTCCATTAAGTTCTGTAATGGGAGAGTTTGTGCTGAAAGTGGATGGTTATAAAAAGAAATACTGTTCTTTGTCTGATGATTTAAGTTTCATTTCCTCTGTAAGTATTTTGCAAGATCGCATGATTAATTTTAATGTAGTTTAAACTTTCAGCGCTATTTTTGAGACAGAGAGATGAAGTCCCCAAATTAAATAAAAAAATAAAGGAGGTATAGCCAATTAAAATTAGAAGTTTGCTTTTATATTTTTTATCTTACATATATATATATATATATATATGTATATATTGAAGATTGAATTAAAGTAAGTATATTAATAAATCGTTATAAATTGCCTAATACTTGCTCAAAAGCTGCAAAGTAATAAAATAATAATAATTTATTTACTAATGGATTAGTGAGTATATTATATCTTTTGAGAGAGTTAGTAGAATTGTAGTTGGAAGTAACTTAGAAGCATTTAAAAATGAATCTTGAAAAATTTTTTTAAAGGAACATCAGATATGAATCATGAAAAAAATTGAACTTGGAAAATTTAAAATTGTGAAAATTAATCAACAAACCAAGTAATTATCATCATTGATCAGAAATTGGTTGACTTTTCAAGGGGAATAACCCCTCCAATCAGTTAACAGTAATTAATAAATGTGAAGGTATTTCGTCTTTTACTCAAGTAAGGATTATGATGTTACTTCATTCAGCTACAATTCTATTAACTTTCTCAAAGGAGATAATATACTAAATAATCCATTAGTAAATAAATTATATATATATATATATATCAGTGATATTAACTCATATTTCCATTATCCTGGGGAAAACCATGAAAACACCTATGCAGCTGGACCATTTGCCAGTATTAGAGTCCAGGTAAAATTACCAGTGTTCAGTGGCCTCAGTTAAAAATGACTCATGTGAAAATGAAATTTCAAGCAAACTAATAAGCAATATTTGCTCACTATCACTTCAACTTTTTATCGGGTGTCCTGAAAATAAAGCAGAACTGAAATTAGCAAAATAAATCTTTGTCTCTACATGAATTGGCAAAATTATGAGATGCTTTGAAAGAGTAGACACTCGAATTAAATACTAAAACTAATATTCACCATGTCTCATATGACACTAGTGCATTGTTTTGATAAAATTTGCATTTATACTTTTACAGACATATATATTTCCTTATTTAATTTTTTCTGTTTCAGTTATCTGTATAATGTTGAATATGGAAAATTACTGGGTGCTATTATGGCTCATGATGATGCTGGTATGTAAATATTTAATTTCATTCCAATATTGCCTGAAATTCTTTTCTTTTACGTTCGTTTATTGATGATTACTAATTAAATAAGTTGGCATATGTTTTTCTTTATATACTCTGAGCTATATGTAAATCGTGTTGTTTGATGTAATCAAAGTTAATTGGTCTGCTTAATTATTTGATGATATTTTGTTGTTATGTTTTGTATCTTAAAAATTTTGATGATTAAAGCTTGACTTATATCTGCTTTGCATGCATTTGCATTGAAGTTTTTTTCATAAATTGTCATAATTTAGATTTATTTTTATTTGTTTTATTTTTTTATTTTGTTTATTATTTTTATTTTTATTTATATTTATTATTATTATTTATTTATATTTATTTTTTGGTGGGTTTATGTATGAGAGAGAGAGAATTGTGATCTTGATAAGGGAAAGTACTTATAAGAGTTCAAAATATTTTATTTTTTGAAATGAAAAGAAATTTCTCACCCCCTTTTAACGGTTGATTAAAAGGGCATAGAATTTTCAAATTATTGTATAGTGACACATGAGAGTATAAAAATGATTGAAATATGGTTAAAAAATTTAATCAAGCCATTAGGATGCAGGATCAAGTTCTAAAATTTAATAAAAATAAAATTTATTAAATGAATGAATATGAAAGTGGAAAAAAATACATATGAATTCTGGTCCCCCCTATCCAAATTTCTCCTCAGAAACACCTTTTTATAATTATTGCATTACAGTGGCAGCAAATATCAAAGTATGAATATCTAAGGAACAATATCTTAAATCATACTGATTCTAATTGATTACCCATATAGTTTTCATTTTTCTACGGGTTTGTTAAAGCATATGTTTAAATGAGGCCAACATTTTAATATTCTGCATCAAAATTTATAGTATATGCAAGGTCTATCATCTTTTTTAAACTAGTTTATTCTTAAGTTGTTTACATTTTTCTCTTTAATTGACATTTTTATTTTTGTGTGAATGCCCCGCCCAGCGGCCGAGTGTTAAAGTTGCTGAGCACTGGCAGTTCGGTTCAGGGAATCCCAATAAATGGGATGGCTTCATTTTCATCTCCCTTAGGAAGTCCTCTAAAGTGGCATCCCTTTATAGCCCTTGAGTGCTTTGCCATAAATAAACCAAACTATTTTATATTTGTGTGAAGCATATATATAAGTAAAAGTAATTTTTGAATCTGAAATGTATATAACTGATTTCTATAGATGTATCATTCAAATTATAGAAACTAAATCATTTCAAGAGAATCATCGGCCACTTTAATCATCCATCCAGTAATGAAATATCGTTTCCATTTTACCATTATCTACTCAATATTTGTATGAAAAGTCTGTGTTAATATAATGCTGTACATTGGCTGTTTGGTAATGACTTTCAGACGCTGTTGTGTGTTGTCCGATTCACCCGGCAATTCCAAGCAGAATAATGCTATACAGAAATATAGTAAAAAATTATATGAGAAAATCTGAAATCTTTCAGATTTCATATTACGTCCAAAGGGGTGTTTTTTAACGTTTTATGTGTTACCTTTATTTATTAAATATCATATTCTTTGCACTTAAGCCCATCAGCGGCCGGGCAGTAAAGACGCTGAACACTGGTAGTTCGGTCTGAGGTTCAAATCCCGCGAACGGGCTGGCTGCATGGGCATTTTCGTGGTTTTCCCCATGTGTAACGTGTATATGAGCCAGTTTCTTTTAGAAATTCCTCCACGAAAGGCATCCCTATCTTTAAGCAGATAGCTCTCATGTGCTTTGCCACAACTGAATAATCCAAAAAAATCTTTGCACTTAAACCATAAAATTCAGTTCAACAGCAATATCACAAAATATTTAAAAGAGCATATCTTTAGAATTTCCAATATGCAGTCTCGCACGCTGAAGATAATTTTCCCCCTTGTACACTGTTGCCATTGCTCGCTTTGAAATAGTTGAGTTCCTTAATCAGAAACTCATAAATGCTTTACAAAATATGAAATAGATAAAAAACAAATACCAAATTTGGGCTTCTAGATTCCAATATTTGGGTGGAAACGTATTATTCAAAATTTGATGGCTCTTGGTACCATTGTTTTATCACAATGCAAGAAACGTACATACATACATTTATGCACATTCTTCATTATTTAATTTCTTTAAATATAATAATCTAATATTTGGCGGCAACAATTTAAAAAGTGATTCGCTATTTATAGTGAATCAACGCAAAGTGCCAAAACAAAAGTAATAGCCCTTCTGGGCTATTAATATATGAAAATGAAAGTTTGTCTGGAGGTTTTTATGTTTTGTCATGCAAATGTCAGTTGGAAAATCGATTTGAAATTTTAGATGTGGCTCGATCATGGGTTCTTTTAGTATGTAAAACATTAAATAGCTCAAATATAAGTCCTTTCCATAAAGAAAATCCTCAAAATCGTACAAACCGTGCTACTAAAAATGACCATGAATTTTCGGTGGCAATAACAAATTCTTCAGGCTCATGTCTTGCTATTATTATGGCAATGCAAGAGCATCCTCCAAGGAGAAAGATGTCTTCATGGAGGGCGATTTAAGGGAAACTGGCTTGTATTCCCATAACACATGGGGGGGGGACTTGCGTGCAGTTAGCCTATTTGTCGGTCAATAACTTGCAATTGCAGAGGTTAAGTTCAAGATAAATAATGAACCCTGTCTAAGACAATTACCCATAGTTCAGACTTCTGCAGAGAAAAGTTCTGAAATTTGATCTTGTGCAGAGGTGGTGATTGTAAAAAGATGGCTATTGGTAAAGACAATTACTAATTAGCATTATGGATTTACCTTATTCTAAACTGTAACTTAAAAAAAATAATGATGTAGATGTTTGGTATGCATTAATTTATTAATATTGTTATACAGTAGAATTCTGGTAAGACTTCTTTGTTTGCATTCATTTTTGAATGCTAACAAAAGTTCGCTTTTTATAAAATTCAATGTGACAAATTTAACAAGAGTTTTTCTGATATGTCTGAACAAAAGACCTAGATTTCAAAAAGGTCGAACTTATCAACAGTAGATAGGCTAAACAACTTTTCAAACTTTGGGTTTCAATTTGAGTTCACCTCATAGCAATTAATTTGTTTATACTCAATTCGTTTATCAACAAGCAAGCTTGTTTACATCAGCAGTGAATAAGGGTAGATTCGTAAAAATAACAGTTTTAGAAATTAACAGCAGAAATGTTAGAGTTTTTATTATTTATTATCGAAAATAATGCATGCAAAATTAGTCTTTTAATGGAAACAAGGTTTGACTATTAATTATCTGGAAAAAGGAAGAGTTGTCTGAAGTTTTTGAACTCCAGAGAGTCTTAATAAGTAAAGCTTTGCTACAGCAAAGATGATTGATGAGAAACACTTTTATTTCAGTTAGGATTTTAACGAATCATTCAAGAGAATATTGCATGAGTTTCCAGTTTTTTGACCTGCATTAGAAATATTGAATTTATTCTGACAGTTTAACTATGTAAATGATTTTGGCAGAACACATCATGTATTCAAATGAAAGGGAAGTATGAAGCAGATATTTTCATGCATATAAAGGAAATTCGATGAACAAGAAATTTAAGATTTTGAAGAAAGGCATGACTGGGAAAAGGAATAATATTGTGAATAATGCAATAAATAATTTTGTGTGCTTATAAATTGAGTAATAATAATTGTGCTTTAATTTTCTCAGTTACAGGCATTTGTTTCAACAAAGGAATTCTTGCTACTTCATCAATGGATTCTACTGCAAAGGTAAACTGGGATTAAATATATTCAAATTGTTTTTAAAAAAATAGAAATAGCTGCAACATAGTATTAATATTTTATAAAACTGTGTAATTGTTCTCCAGAATTAAATTTAAATTATTAATTTCTAAAATCTGTTATTTGAATGAAGACAGAATCTACTCAGTGTTAGAAGTGTAAATCTGTGAAAATCAGCATAAAGATAGATATATGTCTTATGTACATGTATTCAAAGTCTCAAGCTCTCTGCGTTAATATTGCTGTTTGTCGTGTATTGTGGTATTTATTTCACTGATGCATATTCTTAGTATGTAACAATTTATAATTTTTGTTTATTTGTAGAGAGGTTTTGGATTTACTATTTAATATTTACTGTTTATAAATATTTGCTAGTTTAATTACTTTTTCCCTCTCTTCCTCCCTTACATGCACACTAAATATTTTTCTCATTAAAATGTCTAGATCTCCACAAAAAATTTTAGATAAAAGTAGCTGTTATTGTTCTCCCTATCACTAGTTTTTGGTGAAGTTACATTTAGCTAGTTTTGTGAACATTCAGACTCATTGATGTAAAATACTTTAAACATATTCTGTCTTAATATGTTAAGATATTCAATAAATTAGTATATTCTATGTAGATTAGGAGTCTAGTTTATCATTAACCAATTGAGGACCAGCGCGCCGGAAATAAAACTCAGTCACGGGAACGAACGCTCTGAAACGGAGCGTCACTACCGGCCCGCGCATTTTAAGCAGTTAAGCCTAAGTTTACAAAAAAATTCGTATAAAATCAGCATTTTAATAAAAAGACTCCAAATTTATAAATTATATATATACTATACTTCTATTTAATATGTATTAAATAAAAAATATAACGTTAATACAAATGAATGAATATGCAAAAAGCTAAAATTATTACTATGCACATGAAAACAAATACTATACACAATAAAACAAAGCTGCAAATATTACAAACACAAAATAAAAAAAGAGGAAATTAAGAATAATAATATATTCTGAATAAAATCGAAATTTAAAAATTCTGCTGTGTGTGATATAGTTCAAAACAAGGATCCACACAGAGTCCAACATTGCATATTTTGCACTTATAATATGATGTTTGTTTTCAATTTTTTTTAGCACATACGACACTTCTTTCTACTTTATTTCCTTTCCCATCAATATAAATTTTTGGAAAATGTCTACCAGTTAGACGAAATGGTTGAATGCCCGGTAATTTTGAACAAGTTTTTGAGCTCCTTGGTTTAGCGAATTTTCCTATTATTTGATGAATAACTCTGGATCTGAATTCCAAAGCAGATATTTTCTCGCCTTTTACCTTCGAATATATTACATTTGCATTTAGAAGTGCCATATCTAACAAACCAAGAAACAGCTTTTTATACCATTTTACGGTTTTTCTAAATGCTGGATAGTGATGAATAATAGAATCGCCAATGTCAACACCCCACATATTGTGATTATACTCCACAACGCAGAGTGGCTTCAAAATGTCCTTTCCAGTCTTTCGGTCTTTTTTACCAATTGGCACAATAACGCCGTCATGTATAGTTGATAACATCAGCACTTTTTTCTTTTTGTCATTAAATGCAAATAAATTCACTGAATTTTCCGATCACATATCCCTAAACTTCTACGAAACACACACATAAAAAAAAAAAAAAAAACGGTGCCAAAACCGAACATAAATATTTTACTCTTACCCGTTGCTAATCCGCTGAATGTACTCCCCCATATTCTCCTAATGAAAAAAACAAAGCAATAAACAAGTCACTTGAACTCACACGTGCCCTTTCAAACACCCGTGTTTCCCAGTTTGTTTATATTAACTAGAAGAAATTCTTTCTTCCATTTCACTATTTGATTAATTCATCTATTTCGAAATCTCGCTCTGTCAAACCTCAAAAGACAAACGCAATTCTACTCCAACATTTCAACTAATAAACGTTCCATAAATTTCCACAATCTGTCAAAATATAAACACAGCAAGCAATAATCCCAGCCCTTTAAAGAGCCATGATTCTCACTTTGTTTACATCAATAAATATATCAAATACAGAAGCATAGAACAGAAACCAATGCCCGTTCATGAAGGTCAAATACCATATGAGTCGACCGTTGTGAAACCCGTTGCCGTTTAACGCCATCTAGTAGCATTTAAAAATTCAAATAAAACGTTCCGATTACGCATACGCGACGCTGGTCTCTCCATATCAATCGGAGCTCTTCGCGTGGAAGCGACGCTGGGCTGATAAGAGTGAAATCGCTGCGTCGCGTCCACGCGACCTTGGTCACGAACGGGTTAATGAAATTTTCCTGGATATTCCAAGTTTTTATTTAGACAGTTGCACTTCTCAGTCACAGAAATAATAATGGAAAAGAAAATATTCTTATTAAAAGCATTCTTGCAAATTTATTTTATTTTTAGTTTTAGAATTCTGTATACATTTCAGGTTTGGCACTACAATCCTGGAGAAGGTGTGCGCCATGCATTTGCTTTAAGTGTGAGTAGACTTCTAAGTCATTTAGTGTATTGTTTTTTAAATCTGCATGTGTTCAAATTTTTTATTAATTGAATTGCATTTTTTATTTGTTTATTAAAATTTAAATTAAAGTTTTGAATTCATTTAGGGCTGACTTTAAGTTGTATGTATTAAATGCCATTATGCTGATTTATTTATAATTTTCTAATATCATTTATATATACTAAATAAAATCTTTTTTTCCTACAGTAGTAAAAATGAAATATAAACTTGAGCTGTTCTTATCTTGGATGCAGGAAATTCTTGAGTTTTCATAAAGGGTATTCTGCTGAATACCAAATATTTAAAAAAAATTCTGTTGATGAATGGAAGTTAAAATTTGGTATTCAAAATTTGGCTGTAGTGTTTCTGTGTTAATATTGTTCATTACTGCGAAGCATATAAAATAATAGAATGCACACTATGAAAATTTAAAATTTGCCAGTTTTTAAGGTCTGAATTTGAAAATTTTTCACTTGAAGTATAAAAATAATTTATACTGGAGAGTGTTAATTAAGTTTTGCTTGATTTATACAGATAGCATTATGCGTAACTGAACGACCAATTAGTGATTCATCTTAGTGCTAACAAAAATCGAGTCTAGTAGAGTTGATGTTAATATTAGCAACATTAGTGAAACATTCTTAGTTTACAGATTCTGGTTTTTAAAGTTTTTTAGAAATACTGGTTTTACAAGCGTTCTTAGTTTACAAATACTGGTGCTGGTTCAATATATATATATATTGATATAAATTCATGTAAGAGTTTTTTTCCCCCTCTCTCAATGAAAATAGAGAACATTCATTTTAAATAATTTACAAACTTGTTTAACCTGCAAGAATAAGTTTACCTAATAAAATTTCAGGAAAATGGACTTAGAAGAAAGAAATTTCACTTATCAGAAAGTTCATAAATTTGAACTTATTTTATAAGAATCAGGCTTTTGGTGTTCTTATTTAGACATATTACAGTCTTACAATACTACTAATTGATTTCTCATTATTTCACTACTCATTACAGGGGAAGGGTTCTTTGTGTACCGAATAACTGTGCCTTTTGATTGAAACAAAGCGAGAAACTAGAGTTTATTTTTGAATATGAATTTTTGAACTACAGTTTATAAGATCATTCTGAGATATAAGAAATATCCATAGTGAACTGTGCATACATTTTCTTCTTTTATTTAAATTATTCATGTTAGTTGTTTTCGACAAAATACAAAATAAAAAATGTTAACAAGGTATTAAAAAATAGTAAAAAATTTTTATTTGTTTAAATAGGTTCTAATATAAATAAGCTACTTGATTTATTTAGAATCTTCTTCAGATATACTTTCATTTTTGACGTCTTCATTTTCAAAACTTGAAAATATTGAAGTCTGGCCTTTTTAAACTCCTTGCTTTCATTGACATATCACCAACTTAAATATATCGTCCTGCTTTCATGCATGTGATATTTTTGTTACCTCCATTAATGTAAAATAAAAAATTTGTTAATTCAAAATTATAAGCTAAATTAGCAGTAGCTGAATAATCTGTCATTTTAATTTGTGTATCTTCTCAAATATTTTCTATTACATGTGCATTTTGAATTATATTGGTAGATTGGTTTGGCACACCATAGCTACAAGGTTGCCAACCCCTAGTGTACCTCATCACTGGATTGGCTGTAGTGTTTCAAGCAATATGCATTTCTTTGTTGGAGCTCCAGATCTAAGCCCTTGTGATTTTTTCCTTTGGGGTTTTGTTAAAGGCAAAGTATTTGTGCCTGCATTTCCCCAGAACTTAACAGCAGCTGAAGCAGGGGATAACTGAAGGGCTGGAATCATTAACAAAGGATATCCAATCACAAATACCGCAGATGCTCTAATACCACATATATATTTGCTACATGTCACTATATGGGTACACATACATCATCTATAGAAACTTGAATAATTATAGTTTTACAGTAATTTGATTCATCAAAATAAAGTAATTACAGTATTCATAGATGTGCTTTCTTTTTGTCCCATTCAATATGAAATACGCTGCATTATGCTAAAAAGATAAAAATACGTACTCTGTAAAGACTTGTGATGATTCTTATTTTGAATTAGTGTAGCATTAGCCATATTGACAGTTCCTTGATTAATCATGGATAAGTCTGTTTATGTTGTAGATAATTTGTATGTGTCATTAGGTAATCAAATCTTACTATTACCATGGGTGTTTTGAGCACAAATTCATAAGGAACTGTTATTCATGAAGATGATCTGTAAGATTTGCAAAATCAGAATTATAGTTCTTGATGCAATTTTTTCTATAATCTTAAAACTTGCTTTACCTAAACTGCTTTTTAAGATTTTACTATAAAATATTTAAGGCTGAAAGAGAGTAAAATGTTTGAGGTATCATTATTCTTATCTGTGACCTCATAAAAATATTAAAATGTTCTGACTTTCTGAGGTAATAAACATGAATTAATGCATGTTGCTGCTTTGATTCGCTTAATAATTACAAATTTGTGATTGTTTTTGTCATGTACTCCTTTTACATCATCCTTGGTAACTTCGTACCATTACCCAATATTTTGCTCAAAAATTTAAATCTAAATTTATGGTTTCATAGTGATAGGATTTAGCCCAGATGCATTTTAAAAATAAATTTCAAAGTAAAAACAAAATTATACATATCTCAAGTCAAAACAAAACATAGCATCTGCTATTGATGTTTAATTTTTAACTTATTTTTATTAGTCAAAATATGTTTTAATATTGTGTATGTATATTATGAAGCAAATGTGTTACTCCTATAGGCTGAACTGGATCATGAAGCTAGCGTATATTGTTTGACCCTGAATGAAAAAAATTCTTTGCTTGTTACGGGAACATGTAATGGTCACATATATATATGGGATCTTTCCTCATATGCTCTTCTGGGCCAACATCTTTGTAAGTACTCATACTTCAGCTTATTTAGCTTTTAAAATTTCTAAATACCTACTGGGAAACTATTTTGTAATAAAGTAAAACATCTGGATTTTTATTAAATCAATTTAGGAGAATTAACTGTTTTCCCTTTTCTCTATTCATAAGGCTGAAAGTTGTGTAATTATTATCCTGCTATTGTTCTCATGTAAAATTTATATTTAAATTGAGTATTTTTCAGATTATATATAATAATTTATTTTAATTTTTATTTGAGAGAATGTAAATCATTTAAAATAATTTGTTTAAGCAAAGAATAGTGCATTATCATTTATTATAAATAGATGTTCAGGGATTTTTTTTTTTTTAATTCGCAGAAAATAATAAATATTCAGAATAATTATTCATAAGTTATGTATTGGCAGTCTAGAGATAAAATTGATGAATGTCCTGTACAAAAGATTTGATTTATGAAAGAATGTGTGAGCTATATGCAAGTTTTCACAAATAATTCCCAAATTATTCCCAAAACTAAAGACTATGATAAAGATTAAGACTAAACTTGACCCTATGATTATTAGGTAAATAGTAAAAAAATTTAGGCTCTAGAGTTGTTGAAGGGGCTGCCTGGTGCAATCTCTACAGATTCCAAATCCTGTTTCTTGGTACCTCCCAAAATTCAAAAAATTTTATTGCCTCTATAAATTCTAGTGCTTATCTTGAATTCTAAAAATTCTTCCTTCTCTAATTTTTGTTGCTTGGTGCTGCTTTAAATTTAAAATTTTTACTTTCCTAAATTCTAACACCTGATGCAGCTACACGAGTTGCACCTTCTCTGTCACTGGCCTTGTGCAAGGGTAGCATTTTTCCATCTGACCTAAACAGTAAATGAAGCACTAATTTTCCTGCTATTCGTAAAAAGCTAAAAACAATTTATTTCTACTTTTAAATGAATGAAGTTTTCTGTGATTGTGTTTCAGAGATGGAGCAACACACGATTATTTTTATTGTACGAGGCGTATTCGGAAACTAAGTACCGTTTTGAAAAAAAAAAAAAAAATAGTAAAACAATTTTTTCGAATCCAATTTTATTTTTACATGAAAATACATGTATTAAACTATTTTTCAACATAGTTTCTGCCAATGATCATACACTTGTCAGAGCGGGTGACCAGTTTTTGTACACCATCGTCAAAGAAACTTCCCGCCAGTTTTGATAACCACAACTCCACAGCATTTTTCGTGTCATCGTCAGATCCAAAGTGCTTGCCACCAAGCTTGCGCTTCATGTGCAGGAACAAGTGGATAGTCAGTTTTTGGCGCCAAGTCCGGGCTGTACGGCGGGTGATCGAACTGCTCCCAATGAAACTGTCGAATTAACGATTGAGTGACACCAGCAGTATGGGGCTAAGCATTGCCATGGAGCAACACAATTCCTTTACGGAGCATTCCTCTTCGTTTGTTTTGAATGGCATGCCTTAGTTTTGTTAAAGTCTCACAATATCGTGCTGCATTAACGGTTTCACCTCTGGGAAGAAATTCAGTAAGCAAAACGCCTTTCCTATCCCAGAAGACAGTGCACGATTTTTTGTGATGACATTGTCACTTTGAACTTTTGTTTTTTCGGAGAATGAGTGTGTCTCCACTCCATTGATTGTTGTTTCGATTCTGGTATGAAATGACACACCCAAGTTTCATCACCTGTCACAATTTGGTTTAAAAAGTTTTCTCCTTCATCACTGTACCACGTGAGAAATGTCAGGCACTACCAAGTCACTTTGTTTTGTGAGCATCAGTGAGCATTTTTGGAACCCATCGGGAACACAGTTTGCGATAATTCAAGCGGTCAGACACAATTTCGAACAAAACAGTACGTGAAATTTGTGGAAATGCCTCTGAAAGAGTTGACATTGTGAAGTGTCTGTTCTCATGAATTGCTTCATCAACTTTCCTTACCAAATCATCGGTGACAACAGAAGGCCGACTGCTCCGAGCCTCGGCGTGGACATTTGTTCGACCTGCGTTAAACATTCTTACCCACTTTCTCACCATTCCATCACTTATCGCGTATTCACCGTAAACTTCTGTCACTTGACGATAAATTTCGGCCGGTTTAACATTTCTCGCGTTCAAGAATTTAATCACGGCACAAATCTCACAGTCAGCAGGAGAGCTAATTGTCTTAAACATTTTGAATGTGCACAGCAAACTGAAAACACAACATAGAGCAACCAAAATGGCGACAATTGAAAGTCAGTGAACAAGACTAGTGTGCATGCGCGGGACGCCTACCACAGCGCTGCGACGAGGCTAGAATTAAACGGTACTTAGTTTCCGAATACGCTACGTAAATTAATAATCTAAAATCCAAAATTTTTTTAACTCCAATTGCCAAAGTTCTGACGTTTCTGGATTTCAGCCTTTGTACTATACAAATTTTAAATACCTCTTAGAGTATTTGATGCTAATTAACCAGTTATTATTATTTTGGTCTTTAATAAAACTTCCTCTTTCTGTGTTCTTCACCAGAAACTTAGTTGAAACTTAAAAACATAGTTGAAAGATCACTTGAAACTTAGTTGAAAACACTTGAAACTTACACTTGAAACTTAGTTGAAAGATCTCCTGGCAATTATATGTGTCTGACATGTTGAGCCAGCTTGTTCTATTGCATATATTGAATATATTATCAGCATTTGGATTTAATTGTCTGTCATTGTAAAGTTAAATAGCCACAGATGGTAGTTTCCTCTACACCACAAGCTCTGCTTTTATGTAAGACTAATTAATTAAATTATATTTAAAAATTACTTTAAATTTTCTTCAGCACTTTGTGAATATTTAAGACATAACCATAACTTGCTGTCTAGTAGGGGTTGCAGGACTCCGTTAACTCCGTAAACGGACTTATACTCCGTTTTATAAATATGTGTAAATAGAGCTGATTCAAAAACTATGTAAAAATTAAAATATTTATTAATGTGGGAAACAAAATTTAAAGTATAATTTAATTCCAGAGCACTATCAGTTAAACAAACAAAAGCTTTTTAAATCTTGGTATTTAAATCAAGGTTTCATAATTTAATATTTTATCATATTTTTCACTATTAATACATTTATTTTCAGTATTTTTGGTAAAAATCTAAATAAAAAGTGACTTTTTTAACCGAGAAAAGCACTTAATTCATTTATGTATCTTCTTAAAGTCACACCATCATCAATAATTTTTCTTGATTCATAATAATGCTGCATATAAATTAGTTAATGCTAAGGTGAATTTTTTTTTTGTGTGTGTGCATTGCTATATCGTTATTATATTTCAGAATGCTATCACAGCATAATGTGAAATGTAGTTTCATTTAGCACATTAGTCTATGTTAGTACATATAACTTAACATACTGCTAATAAATTGACATATTTTTTAAATATTTCTTATTCAAAATAAATTTTATGCATATTATATCAAAATTAGTCCTTAATTATTATAACTGTTTTGTACATATGTGTGAATTTTTTAATATTTTTTCCTCTACTTTTATGTCTGCTGTTTTCAGAAATTTTACAGTGTTACTTTATTTATAGATCACACTGGTGTTATACACGCTGTTTTGTTTAGCCCAGGTAAATGTGAAATAAATGTTTTTTAATTACCCTCTAATAATTTATTTTGTGTATATGTTTTGTTTTTCTTTCTGTTTATGACAGCAAAATGTGGGATATTAAATTTTTTTCAGATTTTACTAAAATACATTGTGTCTGAGGACAAAACTGATGAAAAAGCAATGCATATATCTAAAATTAATGTATTTATTGTATAATGGTTTACATAGCTGGAAAGAAGAACTCAAAAAGTTTTAGTATATCTCTATGTGATTGTTATTTGTAGCTTAGGCTGTGTCTCATTTCACACATTCTAAAGCATCATCGGTGTGATTGAATCCTTCTGTATCTGTAATTTGGGCATATCTAAAGAAGTCAAATCTGCTCAGCTCCAGTGTTCCCAGTGAGCAAAATTGTCCTATTGTGAACCATAATGCAATGAACATATTGATTTCAGATATACTATCATTCCTTTCCATTACATCTTTCTCAGAAACCCTGTAGATATAATACTTTGTACAGTCGAACCTCTCTTAAGAAGCATAATTGGTTTCCAAATCTTATAATACAAAACACCCATTAAGCAAAACTATTTTTTCCATAGGAATTAATGTAAAATAAGATAATTTATTTCATTCCCCCAAAAATACTCAAACAAATTTATAATGATGTAATTTATTGTTTATAATGTATCTATTTTATATATATATATATAAGAAAGTTGTCTAAAGACATTTTTTGCATATGTTTCAAAATTTTTTGAAAATGGGACCCAGTATCATTAAATAAACTTTAGTGCACATAGCTACTGCCTTATTTGATGATGATGCTTATTAGCTTACAATACAAAAGTTTCCCATATTTCCAGTATCCTCCTTATTTTCCTGGAAAATTGTTCCTTTGCTGAGGCTGTTTTCAACAGCTTCCCCCACAGCTTGATTATCCCAGAACAAAATCTCTTCCATAACTTCTTGTAATACATAATGCAGCTTCAGAAGCTCTTAAAGGATCAGCTGTAGGCTATATTCTTTCAGTAGCTCATCAATGTCATTGCTGTCCACCTCTAACCTTTTAATCTTGGCTAGTTACACAGTCTCAATAATTATAGTCTCCACAAGCACTTGCTCAAACCTCAGAGCTGTGTTAGACAATGCTGTTTAGGGAAAGCTTCTTTTATGCAGAAACATTATTCTGCCATGATTCTCTTGGCAACCTCCTCTCTCAGTTACTCTAAAACAATGCTTGAAGATTGCTTTTATGTAACAGTGGGGGTTGATTATTTGATGTAGAGCATTTTAAAATTTGAAACGATCTGCTGATCCGTGGGCTGTAGTAAAGTAGTGGTATGAGGAAGAAACTAGATCATGATGAATTTAAGTTCATCAAGGAAGTCATCTTGTAGTTCTGTAAGTTATGCAGCAATGTTATCCATAACAAGCAAGGCAGAGAGTGTCAAATTCATCTCATTACTTCATCATTATCTGTTACCTTACTTTTAAAAGAACATAGATACTGTTAAGTATCTTTGTGCTGTAAAGTGTATGAGAAAAATAGCACAAATTAAAAAGTATGGAATTTTCATTCACAAGTAATTGTGTTCACTCTTTAAATTATCAGCACACACACACAACACACACACAAAAAAAAAAAAAAAAAAAAAAAAAAAAAAAAAAAAAAAAAAAAAAAAAAAAAAAAAAAAAAAGGTTTTAATGTGGTATTTACTGTTTAATCCATTTTGGTGTCCCACTCATAAATCGCAATTAATAAGGGTGTAACAGTGGGGGCTTGGTTATTTGAAAACTGAGCCATGAAGACTCTAACTGAATCAAGCCCAAAATGTGTAGCATCTCTATGTGATACGAAAAAAAATCCTCCTTATACCTTTCTTTAAAGAAGTTATGGAAAGTTTGTCATCCAGTCTGACTAGCTTTTGAGGTTGTCTCCTTTTGGGTTGTGGTAATTCTAAATAATAACTAGTCTTCGAGACTCAAACTACTTTTGTGAACTGCTCTTAAGATAGTTAAACTAAAACAAGATGTATCAAAAATTTCATTTACAACTTTTCTTGAGCATATACTTTGGCTTTTTTTTTTTTTTACATTGCATATTGTTGTTGTTATGTATCATTCTCTGAGTATTGTTTTAAAGATTTATTAATGTATTTTAAAAGTTGAATAAGTAAAATGTAATTATGACTATTTATTGTTTTTCAAATGTAAAGTATCTCAAATTTTTTTAAAATATAGTAACATTTTATATTATCCAGTCTTATTAAATATACAGTCAGTTCCTGATTGACAAGGGAGTATTAACAACCATTAAAAAAAAAAGAAAGGAAATAGAAAAAAAAAAAAGTTTTCTGTTGTGAAATGATAAAAAAAAAATTGCTGTCAGAAACCATCATAAAATAAAACTGTCTATGAAAAATATAAAAAAGGAAAATTTATGTGATAGCAAATGACATCATAATCATTTAAAACTTCTTATGTTTATTTTTTCATTGTTTTCTGGCTTTTTTAATATTAATTTATGTAATCAAATGAATTTTCGTCTTCAGATTGAACAGCTTAATATCATTAAAATTCTTAATAGTACTTTTTCTAAGTTAAGTATAATATATATTTTAACTTCCATCATATTAATTGTAGACATCATTTTTGATGTTACTCTAATTAATCAAAGTCATAGATTTCATTTGTAGTGTAAAACTTCACCAATACAGTAAAAAGTGTGATATTTTTATTAAGAAGCATATAATTTGAGCTACTATATCCTAACATGTTTTATTAAATTTTTCCATTAGATTGCAGGAATGTTGCAACATGTGGCAGTGATAGAACATTAAAAGTGATAGATGTAAAGACAGCTACTTTGCTCTTCAATACAGAATCTGACGAAGAGCTGAGGTAAATGTTCCTTAATATTAAATTTTTTATTCTTCAATCAGCATATTATCTGTGTTTTCATTTTGTTTCTTAGTTAAATAAATTATCAAGTGCATCATTGTTCCCTTTCTCAAGATTAAAGATGTATTTGTAAACAACAATTATTTAATATAGTGTGCCCCACAGTACATTCTTATTGATTGTTATATTACTTAGATGTCTTTGCTGGATTGGGAGTGTTGCTGTTGCTGGTTCTTTATGTGGAAATCTATTTGTGTGGGATCTCTTCAAAGCAGAGTTGTTGGATACGCTGCCTGCTCATACAGGTAGAATATTTTACATTCTCATTTAAATCGTTTGTAACTCTCATTTTAGCTGAATTTTATATATATTTTTTGTGTTGTGTAATATTTATTTTCATTCCTTTATAATAGAAAAACATTTTGCTTATATATGAAAATTTTTGAATTAAAAGCATCAGGTTTTATATTCAAAAACATTTATATCTGACAAAACATTTTTTGAAATAGATAAGTAATCTAACTTTGCAAGCATGTTGTAACCTTTCAGATGATGATTTCAGTTTTGAAAAAAAAAAAAAAAAAAAAAAAAAAAAAAAAAAAAAAAAATTGTTTTAATTAATTTTTTTAATGCAGGTGCTGTTACTTGCATATCAATATCAGATGATGGTGAAATATTAGTTACCGGTGGAGAAGACTTGCATATGAAAGCATGGCGAATCCAAGATAGCTAAGCATTTTGATGCCATTAAATGAATTGTGAACTCATTTGTATATTTTGCTCCAATAAATCAAATTTTATGTGATAAAGCAGTACTTTGGTATTGTGCTAATTTCCTCTCATACTGTATATTGGAAGTGTATTATGAAAAGTTTGCAGTATTAATTTTGCTGTAAATTTTAATGTATTAATGATAATAGAAGATATGACTTCTGTTTACTATTCCGAAGGCCATAAATGTTTAATTCTGTAGACTTTGATAACATTTGAAATAGGGTGACATATCTTAAATTTAATAGTAATTGTCTTTGTAGCTGTGCTTTTGTTTGTTTTGGTCACATAATTGAGATGAAATTCAGATGAAAGGAGGTAAATTCATTTGGATCTGCACACACTCAGCTTAGTTGCATAAAATCTAGAATATTGTGCCTTTTGCATTTGTGATAAAGATATTATACTGAATACTTTTTGTGTTTTTATTAAAATCATGATGCAAATGGTTTGCACCTATGTCATTAGGTCTGTGAGAGATACTGAAATACTTTTATTGTTTGTATAAGATTTTTTATTTAAAATGCTCTTATTTAATAAAATGTCTTTCATATCTATTATGTAAATAAAGGAATTTAAACTCCTTTTGTATTGATTACATGCTGTATAATATATAATAAATATTAAGTTGCAGATATTAATATATGAAAAAATAATCATATCTGATGGATAAAACCCAGAAAAACTAGCAAACAAACTTAAGAACAAACCTGATCTGTTATAATAAAATGCAGAATATGTATTGCTTTTTGTGTTTAGTTTTTCTTAAACCTGATTTACATTTATTTGAAAATAGCCTTGCTTATAGTTTTCCAGGAAAATTTGTGCAAGTTAATGTGTATTATAATATACACATGACTGGCATAAATTTATGAGCAAACTTCAGCCAGAGTAATTATACAAGTAGTCAGTTGAACTTGTGAAAAGCAGGTATATTATTTTCTTTTGCAGTTACATAATCTATCTAATGAATACATTTTATAGATTGAAATTTACTTTAAAGAAAAGAAACTTAATTTTGAGTATAAAAATTGTGAAATTTATTACTATGCAGTATGAAATTTTGTTTTAATATATTTTCGAACATATGCGCTACATATACATTGCTGGCAATTAAAATTTCAACACCCTGAAGGAAAGCAAATACGAAAAAGATAATCTGTTGTACATAAACAGTATAGCATGAAGATAAAATGATTAAATTTGTAAGCAGTGTAGGGTTTTACAGAGTTGCAAAATTAGTAGAAACAGCTGCACTAGTACTTCCTACAAGAAATGCAGAGTGCATTTATTAAAACTGAATAGAAGATTTGATAGCATTGTCATTTAATCTGGCTCTGCGTCATTAAATCTGGTGTTAGATCTGTACATTCTTCAATGCTAGCATTTCCGAACTGCTAGATACTTAATTGTACTAGATATCTCTCTCCTTATTTATGTCTGTATTTATTATTTGGATATAAACAAACTTTAACATAGGCAAACACTTAAATCTTGAAACTCGCTGTCTCGACAAAATTTGTCAAACATAAAGTAATTTAAGACGAACAATACAAAACGAAATTACACTGCTGGCCATTAAAATTGCAACACCATGAAGGAAAGCAAATACAAAGAAAAGATATTTATTGTACATAAACAACATGACATGAAGATAAAATGATTAAATTTATAATTAAGTATTATTGAGTAGATCCATCGCATTATCGATATTTTTCGGAAAGCATTATCAACATTTAAAAACCATACAATTTAAATAAAAAAAAAAAGATGTCTAAAGTATAACTTGCAATTAAAACAACAATACAAATTTAAAATGCGCAAACTACGTTACATTACTGCTCAGCATAACATACAGCCTTGCTTTGCTCATGTGCACAACGACCTGTATTCGCTCGAAAAACATCAAAGAATTCGAAAAACTTGGTGTCATGTACACATCGATCTATTTTCACTTAAAAAAACATCATAGAATTGCCCAAACTCAGCATTGCATACTGCCTTGGCTTTGCCCATGTGCAAGTCAATCTATTTTTACTTAGCAAACATTAGAGAATTGCACAAACTCGGCATTCCACAACCTCAGCATTGCGCATTATATCGGTTTTTCCCATGTACACATCAATCAATTCACTTAACAAAAATTAAGAGAATTGCACAAACTCTGCATTGGCTTTGCCTATGTGCACATCGATCTATTTTCACCTAAAAAAGTCAGAGAATTGCACAAATTCGGTATTGCGCATTGCATTGGCTTTACCCGTGTACACATTGATCTCTTTTCACTTAAAAAATATCAGAGAATTGCACAACCTCGGCATTGCGCACTGCATTGGCTTTGCCCATGTACACATCGATCTATTTTTAAAAAATCAGAGACCTTGCACAAACTCTGCATTGGCTTGCCCACGTACACATCAATGTATTTTCACTTAAAAAACATCAGAGAATTGCACAAACTCGGGATCACGCACAACCTCTGCATTGCGCGCTGCATTGGATTTTCCCATGTGCACATCAATCTATTTTCACTTAAAAAAAATCGGAGAATTGCACAAACTCTGCATCGTGCACAACCTCGGCATTGTGCACTGCTTTGGCTTTGCCCATGTACACATCGATGAATTTTCACTTAAAAAATCGTAGAATTCCACAAATTTGGCATTGCACTCAACCTTGACATTGTGCACTGCATTGGCGCTTTGCCCATGTACAACTCTGGTGACAGGACAACTTCCGGCCTCAGGCTATTGCCAATCGAAATGAAATGCCATCCTGCACTTAATACAATCTACAATGTTTCGAACCCACAGCACAGGGGCAGTACTAGCACGGTCCCTGCCGAGCCTTACACCGTCCCGAGTACACTCGGACACATTCTGTGAAGACTGATTTTATACCCTTGTGGTTGAGACTGTCTAAGTACAGATCCTAGCCAGTACTTCCCAGGAATTCTCCTGAGTCAACCACCAAGGGGATTGCCCACGTACACATCGATCTATGTTCACCTAAAAAAAAAATCAGATAATTGCACAAACTCGGCATTGAGCACAACCTCAGCATTGTGCACCGCATTGGCTTTGCCCATGTACACATTAATCTATTGTACACATCGATCTGTTTTCATTTAAAAAAAAATTGGAGAATTGCACAAACTTGACATCGTGGCCATGGACACATTAATCTATTTTCACTTTAAAAACATCAGAGAATTGCACAAACTCTGCATTGGCTTTGTCCATGTATACATCGATCTATTTTCATTTAAAAAAAAATCGGAGAATTACACAAACTTGGCATTGTGCACAACCTTTGCATTGCGCACTGCATTGGCTTTACCCATGTACATATCGATCTAGTTTCACTTAAAAAGCATCAGAGAATTGCGCAACCTCAGCTTTATCTTGTAGGATTGAGCCAAAAAGATAACAAAATTTTAAACATGAGCGACTTTAAAACAAAGCGTACAAGAAAAATTTTTTTCACTTACCCTTTTCAGGAAAAATGTCTTTTTGAGGGGGTTTATATATGTATATATGTGTGTGTGTATTTAACCATAAATTCAAATTTCATTCCTTGCAGCAATGATGCAAGAGAATTATTTAAAATTAAATTTAACTTTATTCTTTTGAAGCAATATATGTATATGTTTTGAAGTTATCTCGGAGGAGAAACCCTTTTAGACCCATTCCCCCCATCTGTAAGAAAATTTACTAACATTTTATTCACAGTTTCCATAATATATGTAGAAAAATGGCAAATACCCACAGGGAAAAAAAACACTTGGTTAAGAACCACCACATAAGAACATTCAAACCGCAACTGAATTAACTGCTCAAGTTAACAAGTAAAAATTTAAAAAAAAGAAAAAATGATCAAAGCTTTCAGATTTTACATTACGCCCAAAGAGGCGTTTTTTTAACGTTTCGTGTGTTATCTTTATTTATCAAATATCATGTTCTTCGCACTTAAACCATTAAATTCAATTCAACAGCAGTATAGCAAAATAATATTTAAATGAGCATAGCTTTAGAATTTCCGATACACAATTTCGCATGCTGGAGATAAAATTGTTTTTTTCCCCCCTGTACTGTGTTGCCATTGCTTGCTTTGAAATCTTTGACTTTGTTAATCAAAATTTCATTAAGATTAAAAAATTCATTACAAGATATGAAACAGATAATAAAACAAATTCCAAATTTTGGCTTCCAGATGCCCATATTCTTTTGGAAACGTATGTTATTCAAAATTTGATGGCTCTAGGTATCTATCGTTTTTTCACAATGCAAGAACAATTTATGTAGATTTTTCAATATTTAATTTCTTTAAATATAACACAGGCCAATAACATTTAGTGGCAACAGAATAACAACACAGCTTCAAAATATCGGGTTAGCCATGTTGGCACGTTTATTGCCCATTAAAAAAAAATCACCAAGCAGTAAGCTTTTCAAGGAAAAGAAATGCAAAAAGCTTTTCGTCTCGCCCAAGATGTTATAGATTTCATTTATCATTGGTCAATAGATTTTAAGTTAAAGTTTAACCATGCAAAATCCAAGGCCATGTTTATTGATAGAAAAAATACTACTTATGAAGGATCAATTGCTTTTAAATGACAATCCCCTTGAGAGGGTGAATGAAATTAAATATCTAGGTGTTTTTTTGGACAGCAAATTTAACTGGAAAAAGCATATTTCCTACATTTCTAATAAATGTGAGAGACTTCAGCGTGGGCTGAATCGAATTGCTTGTAATAGTTTTGGTGTTAAATCGAATGTTAGCGCAATTATTTATAAACAAGGCATTGTACCCCTTATTTCATATGGATGTAGAGCTTGGGGATTGTCTCTAAAAAAGAAAATTAACTCTAAACGCCTGCTTCGAGTTCAAAGACGAATTTTGCTGCGAGTTATAAGCGGTTACCGAACTATTAGTTACAATGCTGTTTTCTCTCTTTCCGGATTTCCACCACTGGATTTGTTTATTCTGACTTTTATAGATTATAAGAATAGTCTTGCAAATTACTCCAATTCTCACTTTGGTCGTTTATTGCCCTTGTCTGTTCTACCACATCCTTCTGTAAGACAACCAGTACAGATTCTGGATAGTACGGACACTGATGTTAATTCATTCTCATTTGTGCTGTATACGGATGGTAGTAGGATTGATGATAAAGTTGGTTTTGCTTATATTATTTTTGAAGATGATATTGAAATTGAGTGTCACCAATTTCGCATTAGAAATGAATGTACTGTATATATTTCTGAACTTCTGTGTATTAATTTTGCAATCAAGTGGATAATTAGCCAGAATGGAAGTGGTTCCAGCTACTTTAATCTGTACGGATTCACTCTCTTCCCTGGAATCTCTTAAAAATACCTCTTTATGTAATATTATTGTCAATATACAGCAGTCTCTCGGAGATCTGGAGAAGAGGGGTATTTCAGTGTTTTTTACATTTGTCCGTGGTCATTCGGGTAATTATGGAAACGAGAGAGCTGATTGGCTTGCTAAGAATGCAACTAAAAATGATATTAACGTTGATGTAAATATTCCAAAATCTTATTTAAAAAAAACATTCAAAGCTAAAATGATTGAGTGGTGGAACTGTGATTATATCTCTTCTGATAAGGGATCTGTTACAAAAGCATTCTTCCCAACTATTTTTGAAAGACTGAAAAGTAAGGACTTGTTGCTCAATTTTAAAGTTACGCAATTTTGTCTGGACATGGTAAGTTTAAT